TATAAAATATATCACTCGTTGTTTCTCATCGCAACAGTCTGAACGTTTAGCAAAACAATTTGGCTAGGACGTAATTTTATTCTTGTGTTGTACCTCATAAATACGTATGTGAGAAAAAATGTACGTAGGTAAAGGGGCGGGAAATGAAAAAAGAAAAGATAAAAATTCATTCGCATACCATAAAACGAGAATAAGCGTGTTGAGTAGAAGGAACAATTGTAAATATCACCAGAAAAGTCTAGACAATTATCTTAACGGAAAATTTCGGATATTTACGGCGATGTTACACCATTTTACAATATTCAACTTCAGAGTCGAAAACATAAGTATGCATTTAAAGGTTTTTTTATTTATATATAACTTTTTATTTATACAACTGTCTGCAATGAAAGGTCAAGTGTGACAGAAGAAAAATGTTAATTTAGTCACATTTTTTGTGCTTTTTTCCATTTTGACTTGACCCTATGACGTTGGTATCACTATTACATTTTCTATTGTAAAGCTTGACTGTTTAGTTAGTCAAGGAAATAAAGCAAAGTAGTTTTGATTTTTCGAACAATGAGACGGATTGAGATGCGTTTTTTGCATTTGATTCGAAAGAGCGTTTAGAAATTTTGTCAACCAAAATTAATTAGGAAGAAATGAAAAACTGCGTCTCATACACCACTTTAAACAACATCTTAATCTTAAAAAGTAAAATATTTTTTTTAAGTATAATAAAAATTAGCCAACCGTAATAAAAATGGCAGAATAAGCTTGCTTTAAGTGTCTTATTATCCTATCACCCGATGGACAAAAACAATAAACCTACGGAAAGAATGGTAATGTGTAAGGTTGAAAAGGGATGAAGAACGCTGTTAGAAAGATAGGATTACACTTCGAATATTAACGGCCTCAGATCTATATCGTTGAACTGCATAATATGCTAAAGGAATTTGCAAGATACCGATGCCCAGGCAAAATTAATTTTGACCCTTTCAGTTGCCTTCTATATGCGACTGCTGCCTCTTTCCTCTCCAAGGCTTCTTCATGCCATTCCTCTTCTACTATTGCTCCTTCTCAGCGTTATATATACTTGGTTTATGGATTGCTGGGCTTTACCATGGCTGGATCGATAACGAACAAATTTATAGTTATCTTGGGATAAGGGATGTAGTTGATCCTGTTTTACTATCAAAGAATACCTTTTAAAAAGGGTTTATTTTACATTTCTTTGTCTTACCATAATGAAGAATTCATTCCTTTTATGCTTTATTGAAACTATACGTTTTTTTTGTATTTACCTCGAGGCATTTTGAATGTATAATAATGAACAATAATTAAAATCAGTAATTGCAGAGATGTTGAATAAAATTTTTCAAGATTTTTCATTAGAAAGGGCTATGAATATAGTAAGCAAATACATAACCCACTAAATATACTTATACTACACAGCGTACCCAACACAAAAAAAATTTAGAAAATAAAAATGTAACTTTCAGCATGTGTAGATCAATAAGGAATAGACTTAAAAGGTTCACCTTTTGAGAATTATTAAGTTATAATATGCTTTTCAAAAGTACAACTCAATATAAGTTCTGATTTTTGGCATATCTCTCTAGTTATGCTTTACCTGATGTGTAAAAAATTAAAAATGTTCAAACCTCACTGACTAGTGCTTACGATGAGTTGTGCACTGACTATTTTACAAGAATATTTTACTGTGTGACTTAATAACTTTTAATGAATGAAAATTAATCAAGTAAAGCTGCTTTCTCATAATAATGATAGCTTATGAAGGTAACTTTTGAATAGTAAGATTGTATTGCTGCAGTTTGAATATTAAACCCAGGAAGTTTCTTTGAATTTTCGTTAGTTGAGATTAAGTTTCGTATTACAAGATTCTATAAGCTTATTATTTAGAAGATGTATATGAGCAGTTTTTTCATAAATGTACCACTTTTGTGCCCCCCGAAAACTCCCCGTTCTCGAATATGCCCCAAAATTTAGTATATTATTTGGGTATGTGAAAATAGCCTTCAAGTAAAATGTTAGTCTTCCAGGGGTCTAAGGGCCCAATTTTGGGCCCCTTGAAGGTCCAAAAATAGCCGTTTTTATGTATTTTTGTGTATTATTCAAATAGTTGTAACTCTGGCAAAGGAGCATATATTTTAATCCTGAGGGCCGCATTCTTTGGGTCAAGACATGTACTTTGGTGGTACATGGCCCATCTGGTGACAACCAAGAATTTCCCGCTCTCGACTCCCGCAGATTTTGCAACCAAACATGGATGTAGCAGAAGTGCTTAGCCCCGGGTCCCCACCGAAAAGATAATCCCGGTGGAGCTCCAATAAGTGGGAATGAGAAAAGAAAAACACACGTGGATTCAGTTAGTAAGTACGTCCAAAGCATTAGATACAGCGTTACCGGATCCTTAGTGCTGCAGGCGTTCGGAACATTGAACAGAATTGGATTCGGCAAATTCCTCATTTTTGAAGGACATTAACTACCCGCTTTTAGGCCTGCAAACGCGAGCAATTGACGTATGTCATGGCCCGTCCAACTCGACAAGCCTAGCCTGACTTGGTTTGCATTTATTGTGGTTGTTTATCATTTCGCAATATCAATCGACACATTTGGGTATAAAAATTATATCATTTTATTTGATAAATAAGTTAAAATAGATTGAATAGTTTTTTCTTTTGAATTGCATAGGAAAAGCTGCCGAATTATATTATTTTCTAACATTTGAGTTTGGCGTAAAAACAACGAGTCGAACGTTCGAGAAGTTACTTTTGAGAACCGAAAGTTTGTATTTTCAATTAAAGATAACTTTAAAATCATACATTTTTGAGACTTTTGCCATTAGAGCTTTTTTTTCGATTGAACTCCTTTACCTGATTCTCGGAGGAAAGACATTCCTTCTGAATTAGCCTGTAGCCTCGTACCAAGGAGTCTCTTCAAACTTTCCAATGACAAAGATTCTCTAACTCAACCGTAAACATTGATTAATTGATTGTGTTTATTCGATACAGATCGCATGGTAGAACCCCATGTGGCTTAAATTGAAATAATTGCAAAGAGTTATTAGTATAAAAAAGTAGTCATTTACAAGAATGATATTAGAATTTTTTGCATTTTAATCCGAAAAATGTGAAATTATCAAGTCAATCTATTTTGATTGTCAGGCTCTCTCCGGGAAAAAATGTGTATGACGATAGTAAAGAGTTACGGATGAGGATAAAAAATCTATGAATAGATGTTGTGACTTATTTGAAGAGGGTCGATAAAAGTGCCGAAATGGTAAAAAGATAGTAGCTGAAGTCATGAAAAATTACGAGTATTAGACTAAAAGAATTATAAGAGTACTAATACTAGCGTATGCTACCAATTACAAGAAATACTATGTAGTCACATCAAGAGGAATGTGGTTTAAGTATTACAAGATCTGCATCATAATCCACACAATCGGCGTTGTATTGTTAAGTTTATTCCTTTCTGCCCGACATTTTTGAATGGGCAACAGCTTAGCTTACAAGGAGACCATCCCAGCTCCGTGTCATCTGATTAATCTTCAAATAACTATTATTTATATTGCATATAAATTATAAACCAATTTATTTTATTTTGTACTCAAAACAAATTTATTAAAATGATGCACGAAATCTAGCAAACAGATCCTATTCCCTCCTTAACATAGATTTTTATGGAAAAGAGTCTAGTTTCCAAGATATCTCAAAAACCACTGAAGTAATATTAATGAAATTGTTCGTGCACGTAGGAATAACAATTTAAGAATAAATAAAAAAAATTTTACCACTTTGGTTAACTTTGAACTCAGACGTAAACAAGTTATTATGTTACTAAATTCTTAGTAAATTTGGTTCTCAAGAGCTAGCGTGCGAAGCACACAATCATAACATCAGTATTCAAATTTTGTATTTTCCATGAGGACGATATAAGAGTCTTTTCTGATGTAATAAATTGATAAATAGTAAAATAGTGGAAGTGAATAAAAAATATAATTTATTTAACTATTTGAGATACGCAATCACAATAAATAAGTAATCAAACAACAACCGAATAAACAGCTTGCGCGAATTTCACGTTCTTTCGACTGTAGCAGTACAGCGCACTACAAAACTTGAACAAAGAAGGCACTCAACATTATTTGGTCCCTTGGAAATAAAACTATCAAAAGTAGCACGTAGGTACTTTATGAGGAAAATGAGTAAAGAAAAGAAATGCAGAGGTGAATAGCCAGCTCACGCGTCTATAGCAGCGCTACGACAACAACCTTAGCGCACTATGTTTGGCTTGTGTTGGAAGACCAAGTTTAATGACTTCAACAAAGTTCAAAATTTTTCCTCGGATCAGCCACGAAAATTATAAAAAAAAAAAAACATTTTTATGTTGCGAAGGTCAAAAATAAAAAGAGCTATCTTAAGAACTTATCGATCACGTATGGTACACGTTATTTTACCATTGCAATTTTCATGTGCAACTGTTGTTATAGCAAAGCTGCAATTATAATTTAAACATTCAGCAGTAAAAATATACTACCTTGTTCTGAAACATGACCCTCATGATGTGACTAGCCCCTTATAAAAATTTCCTATAGGATCTCGCGAAATTCCTACAGGAGTCCTATAGGTTTCCAATAGGAATTTCGCGGGATCCTATTGGAAATTTTTATAAGGGGCGCAATAACAGGGCCTATATTTGAAATGACTTAACATTTTCTAGAATTCGAAAGCACATTTATTAGTTATGTAAGATCGTGCAAAGACTTTTAAAGATGATCAGTTGCAGTGTTAGAATATAATTAGTTATTTGAAAAATGCTTATAATTTGATACCAAATACCAATTCAGTGGGTATTCCCGACCCTTCACGTTTCCTAGATGTTATATAGAATGAAAAAAATTTTTTTAGACCATTTGAATATTTACACATTTAAAGCCTTTTAAGTATTATGTATTACCAAGGTAAATGTGTTGTAATTTGTCTTTTTTATTCCAGAGGTTTTGGATTCATCACATTTGCAGATCCATCGGGTGTGGATAAGGTTTTAGCTCAAGGCACACACGAGTTAGACGGCAAAAAAGTAAGTTCATCATAAATACTTTCAAAAGAAATTATTAATTATAGTCCGTTCCAAAATGTTTTAAAGATTTTTCATAATACATACTTGCTATAGAAAAATAATTTTTGAGAGAAAATAGAAGTGCTAGAGGCACAAATGTATTAAAAAATTTGGTTTATAAATTCAGGTCAAAAATACCATAAATGCATTGGAGAAGTTGAACATGTTTCTGTGATGAAATAGTATATGGGTCAGATTCAGAATTTTTTCAATAAACATGCGGACGGGGTCCACGAATTTTCCTGCAATTTTGGTATGTAATAGTACATTGAAAAAGGGTCCATAAAACCAAAATTTTAGACCTCCTCCCCCTCCTACCCTCCACCCCCGCTATAAACGTCTATTTTCTATTTATATTTCTTCTGAAGCCCTGAAGTAATTAAAGAATCTGAAAAAATTCATGAAGGTACTTTTCAACCATCCAAACAACCTTGAATTTTTTCAGATTTTTTGAGTACTTCAAGCCTTCACATAAAGTCATTGAAAATTTAAATTATTTTATTTTTGATGAAATGATTTGATATACCAATCCGGAATAATTTTTTCTTGATTCTGAAACCAAAAAACGATTCCTTGAATTTTTCCAGAATTTTTCATTCATGCCGCTGAAGCCTAGAGCTGAATAATTTTTTTAGGGCGATGCCGAGCTTCAAAAATTTCTGAACAATTTTTTTTCTAATTTTGTTAATCAAAATACATGATCTCAAATTTTTTCAGATCTCAATTTTTTTAATAGAAGGTGATGGTGTCTATGGCCAAAAAACGCTATTTTCAACAAAGAAAGCTTCCGGAATCCAGAGGTTCCGCTAAAAAAAATTTTTAATTTTTTTTCTAATTTCTCGTCGGATTTTAATAAAGTTTGACCATTCCATTTTTTCGATTGAAGCTTCCTAGCTCAATCTAGAGCATCACAAAGATTAATGCGAAATTCTGATGACCTTTATCATACTTACATTATCTTTCAAATGTCTTCAGAATTAAAAAAAAAAAATTTAAAAGAAATTTAAAAAAAAAATTTTTTTTAGCGGAACCTCTGGATTCCGAAAGCTTTTTTTGTTGAAAATAGCATTTTTTGGCCACAGACACCATCACCTTCAATTCAAAAATTTGTAAAAATTCAAGATAATGTATTTCGATGAAGAAAATAAGAAAAAAAACTATCCAGATTTTTTCAGGCTTCGTATCAACCTAAAAAAATTATTTTCGTTAATAAAAGAAGTTTTTCGGCTCTAGACCCTTATAAAAATTTCCTATAGGATCTCGCGAAATTCCTACAGGAGTCCTATAGGTTTCCAATAGGAATTTTGCGGGATCCTATTGGAAATTTTTATAAGGGAGACGCTAGTGTCCTCTCTGAAAAAATCCGAAAAAATTTAAGTTCATGTACTTTGATGCTAAAAGTAAGTGAAAAAAAGTGCGGGCTTTGTATTGCATCGTAGAGCCGTAAATAAATTTTCAAAATTTTCAATAATTTTATCTGGAAGCCTAAAGCACTCGAAAAATCTGAAAAAATTAAAGGTTGTTTGGATTGCTCAAAAAAATATTTTTATGAATTTTTTCAAATTTTAAAATTACTTCAGACCTTCAGAATAAATATAGATCGAAAATAGACGTTTATGGCGGGGGTAGGGGGTTGGAGGGGGCGGGGGGAGAGGGTCTAAAATTTTAATTTTAGGACCTTTTTACCATGTATTATAACATACCTAAACCTCGTCAAGATCGGTGACATCCGTGCGCAGGTTTATTTAAAAAATTCTGAGCCTTACCCATCTATATATCTTCTACATATGGGCTATTCCACAACAGGTGTTGCAGGCTAAAAAAATGAAGGTGAAACTAACCGTGTACTCTTTAAAAACACAATGAAAAATGAAAATCCTGAAAAGCACAGCCCCCTAGGTCCAACTCTCATGGATCTATAGGGGCTCAAAGTTGGATTTTTATGTTTTGAGAATATTCTGCTTGTTACCGCTATTTCGCCGCCGATTATGCGCCTACCTTGCGAGCCGTCGTTAGCAAACTGAGGCGATGACCATGAATTAGAATTTTGAAACAACAATCAAATAACGTTCGTTGTTGTGCAATATGGCTTTAAATTCAATCGCGGAACTTCAATCTAAATGTAATCTCCGCTACTTGGCCTTTCGTGTGGCGATTTTTATCTTTTTATCTTTTTATTTTATCCGTCCCTACCGTTTTTTACATGTTAACAATTCGTAATACTATGTAAAATTTTTGTAATGTAATTGGTGTTAGTTCACTATCACTATGAGATGAATTTTAATAAAACGTTATCAAACTAAAAAAAAAAACTCAAACTCTGCTTTTCTGGGGTGGATATGAAAAAATTTCTAAACCATTTTTTTTCATGTAAAATTTGATGTAGAATTCAAATCTGTACTCAGATGTGACATTCATAACCTTAAACCCCTTAAAATTGAAAAAATAGTGTAAAAGACCATGAAAGTAAAAAAATAAACATGTTCGTATACCTCAAATTGGCCAATATTGTAATATGTTCATCGATACACCAAAATAAAACTTCTGATAAAGTTTGGTAACTGAGTCACCATTAGAGACAATTTGGTAGCTTGCGAAGAGCCAAAAAACATGGAAAATGAGGGAAAAACCAGTGTACGCGATCTCCTTGGCACACAGAGTCGAGAACAGCCTAATAGAAAAAGCTCCCTCCAATAAATTCCAGAATATCCCACCTTTTCTTTCGCACTGTTGATTGTCGCTAAGAATCGGATAAGTTGGGAACGACGGATTGCGTTTGCGAGCTTTCACATCGCAACAATGTATATAAGGTTTTAAGTGGGAGAGGGTATTTATCTGACTAGTTTGAGATCCCATCGATCAAAGTTGATAATGAACTCGCTTCAGGATTAAGCAGCAAGATTATTAAATCTTATAATTGGGATTCCTGACCTTGGCTAAGAGTTTTCAATCAGATTTAGTATAAAGATTGTAACGAGTATATTATCCGTTAGACTCTCTCCCGGCAATTGATATAAATTTTATTTAATTATAAATGTTATGTAATTCTATTTCAGCACGACGGATCGTCGGCCGACGAGTCGCGGCGCCGTTGGTGTGCGACGAGAGAGGAGAGAGATTTTCGGGGCTCGCGCCTATGATGTACAGGCCCGCGAGCTGAGACTGTTACAGGCTTTGAGATCGAGTGTCACGTTGACAGGCATACGCTTGCCTTAAATTAAATTGTTACTTCGCGATTACAAACTATATCTGCTAAGTCGAGTCACGGTGATTTGTGCGTGGGTGCAAGTGCCTTACGTCACGAGGGTGCCAAGCGAGCCATCCCGATAGGCTGACCGCCGATTGTAAGTACCTGTTCGACTTAAAAAGTAATCTCTCTCTCTCTTCGCACACTGAGTGGAGCAGCGGCTCGCGGAGATCATAGTCGTGCGCGCGGATTCTATCTCTGGCATAAGCCAACTTAATTTATTCCGTTACTTGTCATCACAGGCTATTGCCTGATTTAATTCTAACTATTTTGTGTGTCCTTAGCTTTAACCTTGAATAAATCGATTTATTGTAAAATTATCAAGCACAACTATTTTCTCAGCTGAGCCCAATCTGCTCCTACGTCCCACGGATCTCCCCGATCAACTTCCCGTTATAAGATACTTTAAAAATATTTCAAATATTTCGATTTATATGTTCACTTTTAAATATCAGCTCGAAATACAATCATGTTCCTCTAATAGATGTTAAAAATTTTTGAACAATCGATTATTCTTTAACATCTTTTACACAACTGTGTTACTTATTTTAAAGTTGAAGATAAAAAAGTACTTTTATAAATTGCTGTTTTAAAATGAAATCTTCGACATTTTAAAGATTGTATCGTATAGCAATCAGAGAAGGGAAACAATTTGGAACAGTACGTTATGAGTCGATACTTTTTTTTGCTAAGCATTAGGAGTAATAACAAAATCGAACAAGACTTCGACACTTTTTTGTACACATTCTATCGTACATTTAGAATTTATGTTTTGGTTTTAAAAAGTGATGCTGTGTTATTATTATTGCAATAGCAATACAGACAATGACATCTGAACACATCTGAACTTAAACGGTAAACAGTAACAGCAGTAGCAGTAGTGAGGATTTAGAAAACTTTTTACGAAATCGACATTCTAAATAGCGTTATATACAGCGAAAAAAAAATAGAACTATTTTTCTCTGCTTTTGCTTTGCGCGAATGTCTGTGTGGATCATGTATATGGTAAGCAGCCGAGAGGAAAACGTGCCATACCATTGAGACTTTCGAATGCGATATTTTAACTTCACCAGAAACTAAATGTTTTATTCAGTCTTTTATCCTTTTGCATTGTATATATACACGTCTTGAAGAGGGTATAGAATGCCCTAGCGAGCAAGAACGAGAGAAAGAGAGAGAAGAGCGCAAGTAAGCGAATTGCTTCGTCCTTTTTTTGCTTTCATTGTGAGCTTGACGCGAAAAGTTTCGTGCGTATTAAAGTGATAAAAAGGAACGCTAAGTGGAAAATAAAACAAGTTTTTCTGTTCAACATCTAGAGTAAGAATAATATTTGTAATTTTCTTGTTCTTTATAGGCAGTATAAAGCGATCATTTCATTTTAATATAACAGAAATAATTTACAATAAAAGTGAACTGGAACATATTCGAAATATCAAGTAAAGCAGCAGCGTTAAAATCGAAATTAGTACATTATTCAACGAGTTTAGTGATGATAAAAAATCAATTTTATTAAAAATCGATATCTACATTACTTGATCATACTATTTTTACTGAAATTAGCGGCTATGTTGCGAACTTTACGTTAAAGTGGGAAACTAGACTTTCATGACCTTATGAAGAAAATGTCTACTTTTGACGGATAGGCTTTAAAAAATTTAAAGTATTAGCAAAAATATTGAGTTTAGCAATTTTTTATTCTTTCGAGGCAATACTA